GTTGAAAAAGGGAAAAAGGAAAATAAAAAAAAAACAGTCAACAAAAATTAACTTTGATGAAATAATGAATCATGGTAAAAGAAAAAAAAAAAAAGCCATGAATCTATGTGCAGTATTCCCCTAGCGCTGGAGTTCTCCCATTCTCCTTGATCGATCAACTGGTCTTGGCTTGCTGGCTGTTTGTGCTGATCTTCTGGGGGAGGGGCCTGTTGCCATGGTTCCCAAATGTCTTTGCCGGAGGCGGAATTGCCCCGCCCTTGTCGTCCGGGCTAAGGAAGCTGCTCCGGTTTGTTCTCAGGAGCTTTTGTTCCCTGCAAGCCCTCGGTACAGCTTTGGAGGACCAGGGCAGAAATGGTGGCCTCCCAATCTCCGCCCGGAGGAGCTGAGAACTCGGGGCCCCGCTCCTCAGTGTGCCCCCAGAGAAAAGCAGTCACTTCCGTGTCCCCGGTCTCCGGCCGCACTCCGTGGTCACCCGGCCTGTGACCGAGCGTTGCTATCTTTGGCACCCGACCCCGTGTGGAGTCTCCAAACCCAGCAGATCCCTGCGGTGCGCTCCCGTGGTGCTCCTCCCGGGGGAGGAAGGGGAGTCTCCCCGGCTCTGCTGCTTGTTGGGTCCCTGCTGGGGGAGCCGTGCCCCGACTGGGCTGCAGATCACATTTTATGGCAACCCCGAGCTGAGAGCCCGCGACTCTGCTCCATCTCTGCAGCCGGCTTCCCCGCTCCGATACCTGGGAGCTCTGCCGCACTCAGGCACCCCCGGTCTCTCTGTGACCCCAAGGGTCCTGAGACCACACTGTCCCGGGAGGATTCCACCCCTGCTTAGCCACTGCAGTGACATCCCTCCGCCGAGCCAACTTCTAAAAGGTCCGATTTTGTGCTCCGCGGCTCTATCACTTGCCAGAAGCGGCCGGCGGAGGCCCCTCCCCCGCCGTCTATCCTGCCGAATATCGCCTGGGATTCACTTCTCCGCACGCCCTACCTTCCAGTAAGTGGTCGCTTCTCTGTTCAGAGAGTTGTTGCTACTCTCCTGTTTGATCTCCTGTTGAGTTCGTAGGTGTTCAGAATGGTTTGATCCCTATTCAGCTGAATTCCTGAGACCAGACGAAATCTAGGTCTCCTACTCCTCTGCCATCTTCGAAAAGTACTTTTTAAAGGATATTTACAACTGTGGTTATAGAGTAGTTTTCCCTTACAGTGTCCTTTTCAAGCTCAGGCTCTCTTGTGAAAGTGATGCAGGACTCGGAGGAGCTGGGAAGTATATTTTCTTTTTAGATTCTCTGGAAGAGTTTGTGAGAATTTGCACTATTTCTGCCTCAAGTGTTTGGAGGCTCCATTTGGGCCTGGGGTTTCCTTTGAGGGAAGGTGTTAAATTTTTAATTACAGGTTCAGTTTTACTTGTTCTAGGACTGTATAGATTTCCTTTTCTTCGTGTTTGTATCAGTTTTGGGGATTGTCCCATATTAGCTCCATTTTATGTGGATCTGCACAGAGCTAGCCTGCAGTGTCCTGAAGAGCAGCTCCATCCCCACTGAGTCCTCATTTCCTTCCTGACGTTGGCGGCCTGGGCCTCTTGTCAGTCTTTCTTTCCTTTCCTTTCTTAAGATTATTTATTTTATTTATTTGAGAGAGCATGAGCATGAGCACGCGCATGAGCAGGGGGAAGGGGCAGAGGGAGAAGCAGACTCCCTGATGAGCAGGGAGCCCGATGTGGGGCTCGATCCCAGGACCCTGGGATCATGACCTGAGCCGAACGAAGGCAGACCCTTCACCAACTGAGCCACCCAGGCACCTCAGCAGCTTGTTGGTCTTACCAGGCTTTTCAAAGAAACCATCTTCAGTCTTTGATTCTATCATGGCATACGTTTGTTTATTTTTTTTTTGATGTGTTTGTTTTGATTTTATCAATTTTTGCTCTTTATTATATCTATTTCTTTTTCTAATTAGAACTTAAATGATTTTCAGGCTTTCTTTTTAAATGTGCACTTAAGTCTACGTTAAGTCTCGGTGTATCATTCAGTTAAAATTACTTTCTGTTTCTGCTGTGAGTTCTTCTCTGGCCAGGAGTTATTTAGGAGTATGTGGCTTTACTTCCAAACAACCGGAGGATTTTGTGGTTGTGTTTTGCTGGTTTCCTTCTGTTCGGGCAGGTGGTGCAGCCACTTGGGGGCACTGTGTTTTGTCCCGCTTCACTCACAAGGGCCTGGGGGTCCACATGCCCTATGCTGCATTGCAGCATAAGCTGTGGTCCCTTCCTCTGGGCACAGCTTGTCCGCAGTGACTGTCATGCAGACCTTTTCCCTTAATAGGTCATCATTTTAGGAAGTTTAATAAAGTGTGCTTCTTGGAGGAGACTTGGAGAATGCAGAAGCAAGTCGCTCTTGGCCGCAGGGAGGAATCTGTTAGGACTGCTTGATCCCACATTGCCGTGGGTCCTATGGAGCTGGCTCAGTCTGTGCTGCCAAGGTGTCTGAGTGGAGGGGACACTGTCCCCTGTCAGGTCGCATTCTCCTCCTGCAGGAGTCACAATGGTTGCAGGTATTTTGTTGTTTCAGTGGCCTCTTGGTTATTTCTAAATTTTCATTTCCTGCTTTTCCTTATTTTAACCTTAATGAGTGTTGTCTTATTAGATCTTATCTGGGACCATTATTTTTCCCTGGAGCCACAATGATTTTGGGGATAGCCTGTGTGGGGAGACCCACTGCCCTTGCCCTTTCCAGATGGTGTGGCCCTGGTCCCAGTCACATCACCCATTGGCCCGGACCGCCCCGCCCAAGGTGGGGGGCAACAGTGTGGGAAGCACAGGATGAGTGTTAGTACCATGGAAATCTCTAGACAGTTTGAACAGAAGCGTTTAATCTTTAAATAGATGTTTTAATTTGTGATACTAAATTGTTAAATTTATTTGGGAGTTTTAGAGATAAAGTTTAAGGTAGCCAGGTACTCTGCTTGACTTGAAATTCTTCCTTAATTTCAAACTTACAGGAAAGCTATAAAAATACTATAAATAGTAAAAAGCATTCCTTGGGGCGCCTGGGTGGCTCAGGTGGTTAAGCGTCTGCCTTCGGCTCAGGTCACGATCCCAGGGTCCTGGGATCCAGCCCCATATCGGGTCCCCTGCTCGGCAGGAAGCCTGCTTCTCCCTCTGCTTCTGCCCTCTGCTGGTGCGCTCTCTCTCTTGCTCTCAAATGAATCAATAAAACTTGATGTCCCATCAACTTGGCTGCAGTCTGTTATTTGGAAACAAGTCCCAAGGGGAGGGCTGTCATGGGGGCGGGTATCTGCGCGTGAGGCTCTTGGGGATCACCTCGGAGGCTGTCTTCATACCTTCACTCCAGCCTTTTCAGGGAACCAGTTAGACTTAGGATGGATCTCTCTTCTCTCTGATTTTTGCTTTCTTTTTAAAATTTTTTAAATTTCTTTTTGTGTATTTCCTCAAGCTTGTGTCGCTGACATGATTGCGGTGGAACAGATTCTGTCTGTAGCTGCTTCTAGGGTGGGTGTGTCGCTGACTTCCACTTTCCTCCTGCACTGCTTTCTTCTCACCATGACTTTGCTTCTCCCTCCCGTGTCCTCTCATCCCTTTCTCTCTGACCTTTGTGTTTCTTCTCTCGACCGTTGGCTTCTTTTTACCTATTTTTTATGGGAGACCATGCTCGTTCGTCTGGAGCCGTAGGATGGGAGGAATCGGGGTAGGTGGATTGCTGTTTCCCCGCAGAGTTTGTTAGCATCGTCCTGTGTTCCAGGGAGACGCTCAAGCAGGGCCTGGAGTTCTGTCAGCAGAAGCAGCGGGCTGATGGCTCCTGGGAAGGGTAAGTGAGCTCCTGGTGTGCGGACGTGCCTGGGGTTGGGAGGGCTGTGCTCTCAGTGTGCTCACTTGTGTCCTTGTGCTACACCAGAAGTCTCTGGGAGTGAAGCAGCCAGCAACAGAGTTCTGGTGGACCTTGTTTGGGTCTGAGCACCTGGCCTCATCCCGGTGGTGCTTGCTCAGTTGTTGCTGAAGCAGTTTGACTGAGTGTGTGGGTGGGAAGGGCTCAGTGGCCTGGGGCCTGGTCCGTGTCTGTGATTACTCCCTCCTCTGGGTGTGGATCAGGGCTTATATCCTGTGAAGGCCAGGCCGGGTAGGTCTGTTTTGCTTAGCCTTAAATCCTGAGGAACAAGTTGGTGGCTTGCCGAAGGCCATGTGGATGGTTTTCTTGAAAATAACTCCAGCTTCCCAGACCCCATGATGGATCCAGTTCTCACAAGTCTGGCAGAATTCCTGTTGTTTTCCACACCCTTCTGAAGACACTGAAAGGCTGAGGTCCTCCTTTGTCTTCCTCCAGCTCCTGGGGGGTTTGCTTCACCTATGGCACCTGGTTTGGGCTAGAAGCTTTCGCCTGCATGGGGCAGACTTACCGCAGTGGGTGAGTAAGGGCATCTGCCCCTGGTGGGGTGGGGCTCTTCTCAGCAGGATGCTCTGCTGGGGGTGGGGTGTCTTTTCCTTTGATGTTGGATTTGGGGCGTATTTTGTATTTTTCTAATCAGTGAGGTTCCTGGCTCATGAGCTGACAGTGGCCTAGTAAAGACATTGGGCTGAGACCTTGCCTCACTGCTCTGGGAAGCTTCCGGCTAGTAGCCTGTGTATGAAGGAACACTCTGGGCTCACCTGGCCACCACCCCCAGTGGGACCCCCTCTGGGCTGGGTTGAGAGAAGGGAGGTGGCCTCAGGTCTGAGCTGTCCCCAGCCACCTCACCCAGCTCTGCTTTGTGCTGGGTATTTCGGGTGGGGGGTGGTCATGCCAGCGCGGTATCTGCAACCATGGAGCTTTTCACTATCTGGGAGGAAGGTGTCCCTGTGCCCTTCACATCACATGGTGGGTGGGCCTGGAGTGCAGGCTGCCCTATCCACCCGCTCTACTCCTCCCCATACCCCCAGGGAGGCCTGGCCAGTGGGTGATCTGTCCTGGGGCCTCCCTGGAGTGGTAGTGTCTCCCATCTTACTGGTCTCTGCAGGGCTGTGTGTGTGGCGGTCTCCCAGGCCTGTGACTTCCTGCTGTCCAGGCAGATGGAGGATGGAGGCTGGGGGGAGGAGTTCGAGTCCTGTGAGCAGCGGCGTTACGTGCAGAGTGCCACGTCCCAGATCCACAACACGTGCTGGGCCCTGATGGGGCTGATGGCTGTCAGGTGGGGGCTGTGGGACCCATCCCCGAGTAGTGGGGTTGAGAAGAGGAAGGACACTGAGCCTCGAGCAGGCAGTTCGGGTGGGGTGTGGGCAGCTGAACTCTGAGCAGGGATGGGAGGAGGTGAAGTGTGCAGGGCACGGGCATAGGTCTTTCCAAACGCGGGCTTCCTGCAGAGAGACTGCCTTTGAGAAGAAGACCACCCAAAGTGTCAGCAAGGGAGAGAAGAGGCCCGTATCCACAGGGTGCGGTGAGGCAGGTCCCTGCAGCCGCTCTCTTTGGGCCCTCCTGCCTCCACACATGTGTACGGGTACACGCAGACGCACACAGTATCCCGGTCTGTGCTGCCCTGTTGGCTTCGGAGTTGTTTGGGGAATCTTTCTAAAACCCCCCGAGGTTAGGCTACACCAGTGTGAACAGGAGCAGCCGAGTCTGTGGGGGACCCCTAAGGCAGCGTGCCCCCCACCGCTCCTGACCCCGGACCCCGCAGTCCGTCTGGTGTGTTAGCCCTTGCCATGATGAGTGAGGGTTAGCACACGTGACTTCCGTGGCCCTTAGAGGATCCTGAAGGCCAGTGGGCCTGGGTGGTGGGCATGAGGATTCCCCTCCTCCTGTCCTGGCGTGAGCAGAAGAGCAGCACCTGGTGGCCGGGGCCACTGGGGCAGGTCTGGAGCGGGCAGAGCCCTCATCCAGCCACGTTTGGGGGGCTGCCCACCCGGCTTGCTCACCTCCCCACGTGCTGCGTTCTGTGTTTCTCAGGAATCTGGGTGTCTGGGATTTGGGGTAGAAAATGTGCAGTAGTGGCCTGCCTTGCCAGCTCCCCTAGTGGGCGTGTCATGCAGGGCAGGTCCGGTCATCACACTGGATTTCACATCTGTGCATGCCTGGCTGCGTGAGGGTGAGGATGGAGCTTGGGTTGTAGCCAGAGGCGCTCTCCTCCAGAGAGTGGTGGCCGATGTGTTCAGTGCTTCCTCTTTCCCCAGGCATCCCTGCGTAGAGGCCCTGGAGAGAGGAGTCAGGTGTCTACTTCGGAAACAGCTCCCCAATGGCGACTGGCCCCAGGTATGCCAAGGAGGTTTGAGGAGCCCAAGGCTCCAGCCAACACTGACCTTGATTTGCATGATCATTTTCACACACCTGTGCTGCCCCCAGACCCCTGGTGGCATGCGTGTGAGCTTTGGGGTTTTGAGATTCATAAACACCACCAGTGAGAGCGTGTGTTGGAAGCAGGTCTATGTTTGCAGATGAAGCCCTGGCTCAGGCAGGTCTGGTGCTGGGTGCGGGGGTGGGGGTTCTGGGCACCCTCAGGCTCTGCCTGATGGCTCTGACTCAGCAGGGAGTGCAAAAGCCAGCCTTCACCTGTCCTGCAGACATGGGGTCACAGGGTCACATAAGGCTGACCCCCTCCCTTGGAGGAGCTGGTGACTCAGGCTGGAGGCTTTGCTGCAGCGCAGGGGTCCAGAGCTAGGGTGGCAGCAGCAGGACTGTCCAGGAGCTGCCCAACTGTCTGGCTGGGGCTTCCATTCAGGGAGTCCCTTAGCCACATGGTGGAGCCTTTGTGTTTATTTCCCTGTGTTCTTTCAGGAAAACATTGCTGGCGTCTTCAACAAGTCCTGTGCCATCAACTATACGAGCTACAGGAACGTCTTCCCCATCTGGGCCCTTGGCCGCTTCTCCCGCCTATACCCAGAGAGTGCTCTTGCCGGCCACCCTTGAGGGCGCCTGGCAGGTGGGTGGGTGGTGGGCGCAGGTGTCAGGCAAGTTCCGGTTGGAGCAGCTCGGGTGAGCTGCAGGAGCCCTGCCCAGGGGCCCAGTGCCCGTCACCACCCACTTCTGCATGGCGGGGCCAGGCTTGGGGCAGGGCTGGGGCTGGTAGCTTTAGATACTTGATTTTCAGGATAGGTTTAGTTCTTAGAAGAGCTTGTGGCGCTCAGGTGAGGAAAGGAACAAGCTGAACCATGACCCTGGAGGAGGTGTGGCGTGTTCTGCAGTACCTGGGCATGGCGCACATCCTCGCTATGGGGCTGGGGGTGCTTTCTTGACCAATATCTGAGATCTTGGAAGAGGGGAACCATGCCTCGTCTGTCTCCTGCCAGGTGCTGCCCAAAAGCCAGCTTGGCTGGGCTTGTCCCTGTGTGTTCTGTCTGTGGGGCTGAGGAATGTGACATCTTTTCCGAACAGCCCAGAGGGAGGCTGGTCCTCCCTGTTCACCCAGCCACCCAGGGCTCAGGAAGGAATGGGGACCAGACTTGCCAAGTGTCTGTGCCTGCTCAAAGGGGAGCCAGACGTGGCCGCCAGCCCTGTCCTACACCTCAGGCCCACCCATGCTGCATTACGGTCCTGCTAGTTGTGGGCGCCAGCGTCCTTCTCTCCTGAGTTGATAGCCTCTAGTGTCTGGTGCTGACAGAAGCACAGGCGGGAGGCCAAGCATGGTGAGGGATAAGGGCTCATGAGTGGTTTGGCGGTTAGCACTGTGGGGCACTGCCGTGTGCTGAGGGCAGCAGAGCAGTCCGTGCAGCTGGCTGGACAGCCTGACGTCCTGGTATGTGCTCTGAGCCGAAGTGACGGCCACATTTCCAAGGCAATGCCTCTTCGGTGCTAAACTTTTTAATTCCCTTCTGGCTCTATATCTGTTTGGTTTGATGTGCATGGATTTGGGGCTCAGGCTGAAAAAAACCTGGGTTCTGGACTTGCCTTTGACCTTGGAGAACAAGTGGCTCACATGCTCAGGGCTTCCCCAGGAGTGTGGCTGTGAGAAGTCACCAGGAGCTTTGATGAGAATAAAAGCCAGGCCTGGTGTTGCCCCTAGGGCCCCGGCCTGCTTGCCCACCCCAGTGCCCCGTCTACCTGCTGTTCCTCTGTACCACCTCCTGGACTGGCAGCATCCCCTGGCTGTGCTTCCTTGGCTGACCATTCTCCATCAGACAGCCAGATGTCTGAGTGCTCCCCTGCTCCTGCCATTCACTGCCCAGCTCCCTGGAGGACCTTCACCAAGACTTTGCACCATGTGGCCTTGACCCTGCAGCTCTCGTGGCCTTGAGTGCTGTCCCTGACTCTGCCTGGGACTTGCCTGCTTTGGGCCTTGGTCTAAGCCATTCCTCCACTGACCTCCTCTTGCCCCAAGGTGGTGCTTCTGCTCTGAGCCCTGCAGGCCTGGGTTGTGTGTGCACATAGATGGCCTGCCGGCTGCACTGGCTGCTGTGCTGTGTGGCACGTAGTGGGTGTTCAGTGGATGTCTGTTGAGTGTCAGCACTTTTTTCCAGACAGTTTAAATGAGTGTTTGTTTTGGCTGAAGGAACTGTTCAGATCTCTTTGAAATCTAGTGGGTTTGCTCTTGCACTTCTTTTCTTGGCCCATGTTCTCTACTCACTGGGGCAGCAGGAACCCAGGTGGTGATTTACCACAGTCTGCTCCTCGAAGTGGCCACTGCCCCTGGGAGACTCGCAGCCATAGCCGGATCACTGGACAGAACATAAGAAATGAAAATCTGCTTTTCTACTGAAAATGTTTCACTTCTGTGGCCAGCTACCTTAATAAAAAGACATGTGATTCCCTTAGGCTGAAGCACATCACACTTGTGTTTGATCTCATGTTGGGAACAGTCACAGATCTGGGGTTTTCTGAGACTGTCACTTGGGCACCGTGTTGGACAGTGGGCCACCACCTCATCAGTTTCAGGGGATAAGCATAACTGCTTCAAGATGAGCAGGTATGTCTCCAGTTATTTGAGGGGAAATTATGTGCCTCAGTCTGTTCTCATTAAGGAGTCGATCCCATTTACAATAGCACCTAAAACCATGAATTACCTAGGAATAAATCTAACCAAAGAGGCAAAGAATCTATACTCAGGAAATTAAAGAATGCTCATGAAAGAAATTGAGGAAGACACAAAGAAATGGAAAAACGTTCCATGCTCATGGATTGGAAGAACAAATATTGTAAAGATGTCAATACTACCTAGAGCAATCTGCACATTTAATGCAATCCCTATCAAAATACCATCACCTTTTTTCAAAGAAATGGAACAAATAATCCTAAAATTTGTATGGAACCAGAAAAGACCCTGCATAGCCGAGGAATGTTGAAAAAGAAAAGCAAAGCTGGTGGCATCACAATTCCGGACTTCCAGCTCTATTACAAAGCTGTCATCATCAAGACAGTATGGTACTGGCACAAAAACAGACACATAGATCAATGGAACAGAATCGAGAGCCCAGAAATGGACCCTCAACTCTATGGTCAACTAATCTTTGACAAAGTAGGAAAGAATGTCCGATGGGGGAGAAAAAAAATCTCTTCAACAAATGGTGTTGGGAAAATTGGACAGCCACATACAGAAAAATGAAACTGGACCATTTTCTTATACCACACACAAAAATAGACTCAAAATGGATGAAAGACCTAAATGTGAGACAGGAATCCATCGAAATCCTAGAAGAGAACACAGGTAGCAACCTCTTTGACCTCAGCTGCAGCAACTTCTTCCTAGAAACATCGCCAAGGGCAAGGGAAGCAAGGGCAAAAATGAACTATTGGGGCTTCATCAAGGTAAAAAGCTCTTGCACAGCAAAAGAAACAGTCAGCAAAACCAAAAGACAACCGACAGAATGGGAGATTTTTGCAAATGACATTTCAGATAAAGGGCTAGTATCCAAAATCTGTAAAGAATTTATCAAACTCAACACCCAGAGAACAAATACTCCAATCAAGAATGGGCAGAAGACACAGACAGTTCTGCAAAGAAGACATGCAAATGGCCAACAAACACATGAAAAAGTGCTCAACGTCACTCGGCATCAGGGAAATCCAAATCTAAACCTCAATGAGATACCACCTCACACCAGTCAGAATGGCTAAAATTAACAAGTCAGGAAACGACAGATGTTGGCAAGGATGCGGGGAAGGGGGAACCCTCCTATACTGTTGGTGGGAATGCAAGCTGGTGCAGCCACTCTGGAAACAGTATGGAGGTTCCTCAAAAAGTTGAAAATAGAGCTACCATTTGATCCATCAATTGCACTACTGGGTATTTACCCCAAAGATACAAATGTAGGGATCCAAAGGGGTATGTGCACCCTGATGTTTATAGCAGCAATGTCCACAATAGCCAAACTGTGGAAGGAGCCAAGATGTCCATCGACAGATGAATGGATAAAGAAGATGTGACACACACACACACACACACACACACACACACACACACACACACAATGGAATATTATGCCGCCATCAAAAAGACCCGAAATCTTGCCATTTGCAACGACGTGGATGGAACAAGACAGAGGATCTTAGGGGAAGGGAGGAAAAAAATGAAGCAAGATGAAACCAGAGAGGGAGACAAACCATAAGAGACTCTTAATCTCAGGACACAAACTGAGGGTTGCTGGAGTGGTGGGGGTGGGAGGGAGGGGGTGGCTGGGTGATAGACATTGGGGAGGGTATGTGCTATGGTGAGCACTGTGAATTGTGTAAGACTGATGAATCACAGACCTGTACCTCTGAAACAAATAATACATTATATGTTAAAAAAAATAGGAAGGGAAAAATGAAGTGGGGGAAATTAGAGGGGCAGACGAACCATGAGAGACTATGGACTCTGAGAAACAAACAGGGTTCTAGAGGGGAGGGGGTGGGGGGACTGGTTAGCTCAGTGATGGGTATTAAGGAGGGCAGTACTGCATGGAGCACTGGGTGTTATACGCAAACAATGGATCGTGGATCACCACATCAATAACTAATGATGTATGGTGACTAACATAAAATAAAATTAAAAAAAATCAAGTTCTCAACAAAATAGACTCATAAATATAGACCAAACTGCTGGATGCCAGAGGGGAGGGGGTGGGGGGACGAGTGAAATAGATGAAGGGGTTTAAGAGTACGAACTTCAGTTACCGCAGTCCCGTTGTGTGGTGACGGGGTTACTGTGCTTTGCGTGGGGAGCACTAAGTAACGTACCTAGTTGTCGGGTCACTGTACTGTACGCCTTATGTCAGCTGTACTTCAGATCAAACAAAATCAGGTTCTTTCCTGGGCAAATCGTTAAAGACGTCTTAATTCAAATTACTTTTTGGTACTGGGCACAGATTTTGAGTATTACGCTGGGAACTTTTTGCCATATTAAGATTTCTGTATTCACCATGATGGAAACTTCAGACCTTCCCTTTGAGGAATTCTCTACCTAGAAATCCTTAATTCACAGTGAAAACTCATCTCTGAGAAAGTACTTTTCCTTACTGGACATAATCAGTATTGCTCCATATATTTATGTTTTACTTAGGCAATAAAATATTTCAAAAATTAATGCTATCTCCTGTTGCTTCTTCATTCTTTTCTCAACTCTGCAGATAGTCTAGTTATAGGTTAATTGGTCATTGACCAATTTTCATTTGATTTTCATTTCCATCTGCAATATAAATTTTTATTTATGATTCACTTTGATTGAAAAAGGAATTAAGGGCAGAAACAGGAGGCAAAGGGGAGTCAGTGGGACCTGAGGCACATGCCGGGGTTGGATCCGTTTGCTGTTGTGACCTCAGCTTTAGTGCTCAGCTTTCTAGGAGGTGGCTGGAGCTTATACACAATAGCCCTGTGATCCCACTGGTTGCAGGTGGGTCACAGCACCTCCCTGTAAGGCATCTGCTCGCAGCGGGATCCCATAATAGCCGCCCGCACAGGTGGCAGTGGAAGGAGGTTAAGGATGCCACTCTGGAGAGCACTAGGGCCAGAGGCCCTTCTGTGGTGTGTGACCTTCATGCCTGGCATTTTCACTTGGGATTTTGGGTGCTGTCTCAGAGACACCCTCCTAACCCTTTTCCTCACTCAGGAGGATGAGGGTGATAACTTCAGGTTTTCTTCAGTGAACATAATTGAATCATTAGTTTGGTTTTTGTTGTTGTTGTTGTTGTTAAAGATTTTATTTACTTGACAGAGACACGGGGAGAGGGAACACAAGCAGGGGAAGTGGGGGAGGGAGAAGCAAGCTTCCCGCTGAGCAGGGATCCTGATGTGGGGCTCGGTTCCAGGACCCTGGGATCATGATGAGCCAAAGGCAGATGCTTAACGACCGAGCCACCCAGGCGCCCTGAGCCATTAGTTTCTACACGATGACTGTTGATAGGTGATTTCCAGCCTTTCTCCAGGGACAGTGATGGCCCTGGGGGCTTCTGAAGCCCATGCTTGAGACAGGTGGAGAACAGCTAGCTTGCATGGCCTTAGGCAGCCTCAGACACCTGCCCCACAGCCAGGCCTTCCGGGGGTGTGAGATGCGGTGGGCTTGATAGCCTCTGTCTTTGATGCCCCCTCTGGTTCTTGGGAGGGTAGAGGAGTGGGGGCTGCTCTTGGGCCATCCAGGAACAGGTGAGTGTTGAAACAGCCTATAGTGGCCAGAATACTTAAAAGACAAAACAAACGACCTCTTGGGTGATCTTGAGTGGTCTAACATGCATATAATTGGAGTCCCACAAAATTGGGATGGAGGGAGGCGGAAAACCATCTGAGTAATGGCTGAAATTTTTCCAGATATGAAATATGTAAGCCCACAGACCTGTGAAGCTCAGTAGGCACAGAAGAAGCACTGATTAGCTTTCAGAACTGTAAGAAAAGAAATTTCTATTGTTTAAGCCACTGTGTGCGCTCTTTTGTTAATACAGCCCTAGAAGATGAATACAGCAACCATTAAAGAAATTTTACTAACTGTAAAGGGCTAAGCACTCAAGTTAAAAGGCAGAGACTGTCACATTGAATGAAAAAGCACGACCCAGCTATGTTGTCCATGAGAAATTTTCAATGCAGAAATACAGGATAAAGGTACAAGTTTAGAAAAATATATAACAAACATCCATAAGAAAGCCAAAGTACTGTCTTAATATCAAAGTAGGTTTCAGGAAAAGGAACGGTACTAGAAATAAAGAGACATTTAATAATAATGTATATGCACCTAATAACAGCTTCAGAATATGGAAAACGTGCAGCTGGAGAGGGAATTCGATAAATACACGAAGTGGGAGATTTCAACATTGTCTCAGCAACTGCAGACAAAATCTTGAGCCAGCTTGAAGTAACGTATTTATGGGACACTTCACCTCATTCTTTTCAAGAGCTTACGGACCATTTACTAAGCCCACATGCGGGGTCAGGAAATGAGTCTCGAGAAATTCAAAGGGATTGAAGCCAGACTGTATTCTCTAACCACAATGGAATTAAATTAGAAATCAGTAACTAAAAGAGATAGAAAATCCCAGTTATTTGGAAATTGGACAATACACTTCTAAATAAACAATGGTCAAAAATGAAAGTACAAGGGAAATATTTCAAGCTAAATGAAAACAATGACATAAGAGTTTGTGGGATGTAGCTAAAGCAGTGCTTACAGAAATGGTTGCAGGCTTACATGTTAATACTGTAAATCAGGTTTCAAACCAGTGATCTAAGTGTCCACCTTAAGAAACCTAAAACCAAAGTAGAAGGAAGGAAATAACCAGATAAAAGAGTGCAAGTTAAATGCTGTAGGAGGCTTAATGGAGATCAGTAAAACCGGAAGTTGATGCTTTGAGAAAATTAACAAGCCTCTGGTCTGATCAAGAAAGAAAGAAAACCTACCACAGGCATAGAAAAGGTGCATCGCCACAGGTCCTGCAGACAAGCTGGCTGTCCAGCCTGGTCACCTCCAGGCCTGCTGCCCTGGTGTGGTCAGCCTGAGTTCGCCATCCCGCCCCCTCTCTGCATCCGCCCACTCCCACTGCCCCGCTTGTGGGTCCTTACATCCTGCCGCACCCATCTGCCAACGCTGCTGCTCCGTGTTCACACTCAGTTTTCTGCCTTGGCCGCGCATCCGTCTGTGCTCAGAGGCGTGAGGCTGCAGAGTCAGTACAGGGAGGGAATGTCATGGGCTGCTCGCCAGTATGCCACAACACAGACGGACAAACTCCCTGAAAGACACAGTTGTCATCTAGGTGGTCATGAAAAGAAGTGGGGAATTTAGATAGCCTCGTATCTATTTTAGAAATTGAATTTGAAATTTAAAGCTTTTCCAGAAGAAAGCTCCAGGCTCAGATGACTTCCCGGTGAATTTTATCAAAAAGTGAAGAAAGCAGTTAACAACCTAACACAAATATCCAGATATTAGAGGAGGAGGGAATACTTTGCAACTCCTTTTATAAGGTCAGCACGACCTTGATAGCAAAACCAGACCAGGACGTTACAGGAAAAGGACATTCAGATCAGTTTCCCTCACACACAGAAAATACTTAACACACTAGTATTAAATTGAATCTAGTGATAAAAGGATGTTGCATCTGCACAGGCAGAGGGTGATGGGCCTGTGGCTGGAGGGGGTGCGGTGTCCAGAAGGTTTTCTAGGGGTAGTAGAAAGTGGCATTTAAATGACACGGGAGGGGCCAGTGTGGGGGGAGGCCTTGCTCTCATCTGGGAGTCCTGGGAGCTCCTGCACACCCTTGCTCAGTGGGGGCTGTCCACATGTCCGCTGTCCTTGTCTGGTGTGAGAGGCTGTGGGTCCAGACACCGGGTCTTTCTCAGGTTGTATAAGGTACGTTTGGGACGTAGAAATCCTCTTTTCCACAAAACCTGACTTGAGGCTTTCTCCTCTTGAAGCAACCTTATGCTGACTTGGCAGTCTGGGGGGAAATAATGACTTCGTTTGGCCTGGAGCCCCAGCCCCTGCACCAAGTGCCCTTGACGCCGCGTGGTGTTAGGGCTGAAGGGGATGGAGGACGTGCTGGCTCCTTGTTTGGACTATATCTCGTCCCAAGAGGATCAGGAGATGATCCCACTGTTGCCTCACGGCTGCCGCGAAGCTCGACCAAGAACTTCAGGGCCAGGAAACAGTGCTGAGTTCACTTACCCTCCTGAGTAGTTAGTTGGCAGAGTGGGTGTTGGCGTGGGCTCTGCGGTGGTCCCACTAACCAGGGCCTGAAATCCACACCCTGGCAGGACTCTGTGAGCACAGGTCTGCGTGTGATTGGTCCGCACGGCCCTTGTGCCTGGTCGGGGGAACCTTCAGTTAGGTCCAGTAACGGTCAGTGTTCCAGACACTCAGGGCTCACAGCCTTCTTTCCAAGGGACGTGTGGTTAACAGGCGGCCTCCAACTGCCAGCGCCTCAGAGCCCGCCTGGAGTCCACGGGGCCTGGGGGCTGTTGGGGGCACCTGAGCTCATCTCCTGCGGCCCCACTGCCCCTCCTTCCTTAAGTGTGCATCCCAGGGGTGCACCCTGACATCTGTCTGCACACCAGACACTGGCCCAGGTTCTGGGGGACCCTGCTGATCCCGCAGAGTGCGGAGCCACATGAGAACCACGGGAGGGCTGATGGCTCATGGGGAGGGACACCACAAGTCACGCAGAGTGAAGGCAGAGTCCTCCTGAGGCCTGTGCACACCACAGGGCGTGGATGGCCCACCCTGCCCCTCAGCCCAGTGCTCTGGCTGTTCCTAGGAGGGGCTGGAGCATTCCCGTCTCGGCCTGAGCTGCCCTCCCCACAAGCCCCATCCCCCTTTCTCCCATCCGCTCCCTGTGTTCTGCTTGGCAGCCCCCTCGGCCGGAGGTGTCGCTCTGTGGGTGCTGGCCCTGGAGGCAAGGTCTGTGGGTGGAGTGGGTGGTCCGGCGCCGGCGGGGCGGGGTGGCTCTTTAAGGGCGGGCGACATCACAAGGCCGCGGAAGGCCAGACAGCCGTGGAACTCCAGGACCTTGGGCTGTTTCTGGAGCGCCTGTGGGCTCTGGATTTCCACCTCCATGGGGCCGCAGGCCCACACGTGAGCACGTGAAGACGTGGCCATGGCCGAGGGCAGCGAGCTGATGAACAGGCTCATGAGTGAGAACGCAGACCTGAAGAAGCAGGTGCGCCTAATGAAGGAGAACCAGATGCTGAAGCGTCTGCTCAGTGAGAGCTGCCAGGAGCGCTGTGGTCTCGGAAGCCGAGACCTCCTCTTCACCAAGGTGCCCACCTACCCCGAGAACTGCTCCCCTGGGAGTGCAGGTGAGGCCACAGGCCTGGGCAGCCAGGGCTAGCTGGCTGCGGGGCTCCCGGGAGCTGAGGGGAGGCCGCAGGGCGCAGGCAGGGCCTGGCCTGCTGACGCCGGTGCTCTCGGGCCCCCTTCCTTCCCTCAGGTCTGAGTAAACCAAGACCCAGTTCCCCATTCTGCTGTGTGTCCTCAGGTAAGGCCCTTCTCTCTGGGCCACTAAGTCCACACCTGGAAAACGGGGTGGGGGGTTAGCCCCCATAGCAGTGGCTGCCACCCACCAGCCCCCCGCACGGAGCTCATGGGTGCAAAGCCCTGTGAGCAAGCATGTCCCTGGGGTCCTTCATGGCACCTGGACTCCTTCAGCCTCAAGGGGGACCTTGAAGAGGGAGCTCGGGACAAGCAGAGGGCGGTGGGGGGGTGGAGGTGGTTGGGGGGCTGGCGGGAAGAGGACAATGCCGCCCGAAGGGGCGCCTGGGAAACGCCTACCAGTCCTGAGCTCTCACCAGCTGCCAAGGCACATGCTTGTCACCAGACACTTGCTGAGGATGACTGGCCTCACAGGGCCTTGTCCCCTATGTGACATCCCACAACGGGGGGCCAGGACTGCCTTTTTGGGCCACCGGGGATGCCCTTGTGTGGTGGCTGCCAAAGGCACTTGTCCCCAAGCCTTGTCGGTGCTGTGACTCCTGCCAAGAGTCACAGACCCAGTGTGGCTCCATTGTCCTTTGTCTGGAGAATCGGGTCAGCCTGGGGCCTCCTCCAAGGGCTCAGAGCCACCCCTGCGTCTGCAGTGGCAGGAGCCCTGGGGCCTTCCCCCCTCTCTGTTCCTCCGGCGCCGGGTCAGGAGAGGTGCAGACTCTCACTCAAGCCGGGCTGCTCCTAGGGGGACCCTGGTCGGGGCCCAAGTCAGGGTGGTGTCTCTGGGATGGTAGCCGACACCCCTACCTGTGGGTCACCCCCAGCAAGCCCAGACTTGGCAGGACACCAGTCTTAGCAGGAGCTCCAGCCCCTGGCCAGCCTAAGGCCACCAAGCCTTTCACAGAGAGGCCTGGAGCCCCTGCTGCAGGGTGTGGGCCAAGGTCAGCGAGGCCCCGGCCATCCTTGGGGAGGGGCCAGCTCCACTGCAGTCAGGGCCACCCCCGTGCCTGGGGCTCTGGGACGCTGCCTGCAGGCCTGGCCCTGGCCCTCAGCCTTCTTTGGGGACTGAAGTTTGGAACTACTCTTGCACGGTGGCAGGAGTTTGTGAACCGAAGGGAGCTCCCCCGCAACAGCTCACGTTTCTCACAGTCCCTTAGCATCTGCCTTCAAAGCAGGATGTGCTTTAAAACCCGTTTTCTTTGTTCAACAACACGTACTCATGGCAAACTTACAAATACCCCAGGAGGATGTAACGTACCAGGCCGGGCCCCAGCTCCTGGCCCCATGCCCAAAGTCAGCCACTGTCAACGTTTTCCTGGGTCTCCCTCTGAAATGTGTGGTGGATATGTTCATGTGCCTGTCCCAGAGGGTTGTTTGGGTTTCCCTAAGCGGAGTTGAGCTGTTGTGCACGTTGACGGCCCCCACCGTTCCCCACCACAGCAGCCAGGGCAGGGCAGACCTGCCGCAGGGGTCATGGTGGGAAACCCTTGGGTCAAGGGCCGGGTGCTGTTGAACTGTTGAGATAGAAGCTGCTGGACGCGCTCCGCCAGGCTGTGGCCTTGGCACCCTGCCGGCCCCGGCACCTTCGTGACCCCAGGGCCACACACAGCCACGCTCCGGGGAAGGGTCCCGGGCTGCTAAGTTTCTCAGTGTGTTCTGTTCTGAGTCTACAACTGCACTGTGTGCCAAGGACCATTTTAAATGAGGTCGACAGTGTGTGTGTACTTGTTAATTCTGCCTTTGTCTTTGCCCTTGGAACTCTCAGAACCCTGGCATCGGCAGCCAGCGGGTGGGCCTGGGGGCGGGGGACACGCAGGCTGGGCACTGGGAGGACCCTTCTAGTCCTTTCTAAAGAACAAGAAAAATTGAGAACAAGCTTGTCGTGTTCAATTTCCGTGACCCTGGTCCAGCTGGGATGGGGTGCCCTCGGCTGGGGCCCTCGGCCTGCTCCACCCAGAGGCCTCGCGGTCCTGGGCTCCGGCCGGCTGCCCTGGCATCTGCTGGGATGGGGCTTCGCTCAGGATCTCAGGACTCAGTTCCTATGTGAGTTCTGGTTTTGGTTTTCCGTCTGTGGGTTTTCTGTGTGGGGATTTGACATCAGAGTTGTGACCGGTTTATAACCTCGATCAAGCATCTTTTCATTTTTTTTCAGTGTTCCAACCTTGTTCATGTGGCGTAGGGATTAAGAATCATTTGGAATCTGAAAGAACTTACTGTCACCCCGGCAGGCCCGTGCCCTTGGAGCATAATGGTTTTGTAACTTCTAGATTTTTCTTCTTTGCTTATTGGTCCATTTAGATTTTCTGCTTCTTACTGAGTCATTTAAAAACACCTTTCGGCGAGAGCTCTCCCATGACTGTGATCTTGGTGACGGGGCGGCGATTCTCGCCTCTTCCCGGCCTTTCTGATGTTGCTTTTCTCATTCCCGGTTTCATCTCCTCATGTTTTCTGTTTCCCCATAGTCACTGTCCGCAGCTTTGCGGTCTTATTGACGTTTCGTGGAGCTGCTTCCAGGGTATTCCTGCTGTCATTTCCACTGTTTCTAGATTTTCTGTTTCTTAGGAGCTCCTCTTCATGTCTTGATCTGAATGCTTATTTTTTTGATGATTTTTAAAAAGTAATTAAAGCATTTAAATCACTAATTTCAATCCAAATACAGTTTTAAATGTACTCATGTACATGTGTTCTGATTTAAATGTACATAGTGTTCTGATTTTCATTATTTCTCAATAATCATTTTTTCATTTCTTCCTTGATGTGATTGCTTTTACTTCTGAGGAATGGAATTTTGTGCCGATGCTTGTTATTCATGTATAGTTTCATTAAAATGTAGCCTGCAAATGTGCCTACTTTTTGGACTTGACTGAAGATTAAACATTTTTGTTTTTTTAATGTTAACACAACTTTACTGAAGGCTTGTGAGTAACAGAAGGGAATCACAACTCACTAAATAGGAACAAAACAAAGCCCAAACCCAGCTGAGCACAACAGAAGTCCCTCTAGCACAGGCCCTTGCCCTCTGTGGGGAGGCCGCCTGCCCTCAGGAGGTCTGAGTCCCGAGCCCTGGGGCAGCCAGAGGTGCTCTCGTGTTGCATTCTTGATCTCTGGAAGGGTGCTCCGTGGGCCGTTTCTGGACTGATCAGGACACCGTGAGGCCCCTCAGCAGGCCCACGGGAATGGCCATTTTGGTCAAGTGGGCAGACAGGAGGCAAGACACATCCTGATGGCTGTTCTTTTTTTGAACATTTTTTTTCCTAGGAAAACATTGCTGGAGGTAGATTCATTGGTTCCTGAGGAGGTATATCTTAGGATGTAATTTTTCTTTTTTTTCACATTTTATTTATTTAAGTAATCTCTACCCCAACAACCCTGAGATCAAGAGTTGCATGCTCCTCCAACTGAGCCAGCCAGGTGCCCCTATAATTTTTCATTATAACTCTTAAAAAACACTATTTTTCAAGTATATATTTGCCTTATTGCTAGGAGAACAAGTTTGTCATATGGGAACAGAAAAGGATTATTTTAAATCACAAAAAGAATCAATAAGTTAAAATTGATTACATTATAATTTGAAAAATTCTGCATGACAAGTCACTATAAAAGAGATTAAAATATAAGCAAGGCACCCGATGGAAGAAGACATTTACAACACTTTTCATCAATAAGGAGTTAGTATGCAGGAGAAAAAGAGCTGCTACAAATAATTTTCAAGACTACTCACCTCCCCCCCGCCCCCCCGCGCTCTCCCCCAAAATCCTAAAACGAACAGAGAAAAGGCAAAGATAAATCACCTAAAGAAAACCTGAGGGGCTAGTAAGCATATATGACAGGATGTTCAGCGTCACTGGGGATTAGGGAAAAGCCATGTGATGTCATCAGCCTGGTCTGTGCTTAACCTAGGACTGGTGCAGCTACTGGAATGTTCTACATTCTACTAATGTAGATCACAGAGAAAGTTTGACAGGCACATACCTGAGCCCAGTGCAGATGGTGGAGGGTGCTCACTGTGAGCAAGGAAGCATATTATGGGATGCTGATTATAGCTTTTTCAAGGAAACCAGGAATAACCCTCATGTCTATCAACAGAGCAACGGGTATGAAAATTGCTCTGTGTGTGTGTGTGTGTGTGTGTGTGTATCACACATGTGGCATGAAACAGTTAAATGTGTCAGGTAAGCTACCAGACAACTCAACATGGATAAATTCCCAAAAAAGATAACGCTGCAGCAAAAAGGTATGCGGCAGAATAAAACATGTATAGGATGATACCATTTATGTAAAAATGTAAAAGCATATACAAGTCCCTCGGTACTGTGTGTGGAGGCACGGGTGGGTAGGAAGCGCATGGAGGCATGCACGCTTGCCTTGCTCATGAACGTGAGGCTGGTGGCTTCCTTGGATGGGGTGGGCACCCACAGTGCCATCTTCTGTAGAGGGAGGAGGAAGGCTCTGAAGCACGGGGTGGGGTGTCACAGCCTGAGGCTGGGCATGCAGGTGTTCTTCAGTAATCTCTCCCTCCTTAGGGATGTTTCAGGAACAGAGCCTGACTTCCCCTCCCTCCCCATCCCAGTTGCAGACTTTGGAAGGTTCTCCAGTGCCCCTGATGCACCCTCCCAGCTGCAGACGTCCTCCCTGGAGGACCTGCTGTGCTCGCACGCCCCCATCTCCAGTGAGGACGATGCCTCCCCTGGCTATGCAACCTCCACCCAGGTGCCCGTCAAGGCTTTCCTCAGTCCCCTCGAGCTGCGTGTACCCCGAGGCACTGACAGGAAGCTGTCCCCACTCCTGAGCCCCTTGCAGGACCCGCTGGCGGACAAGACCCTGCTGGAGCCCAGGGAGATGGTCCGGCCCAAGAAAGTGTGCTTCTCGGAGAGCAGCCTGCCCTCTGGGGACAGGACCAGGAGGAGCTACTACCTTAACGGTATGGCCCAGCAGGGGGTGGGCACCAGGGTGGGCACCGGGATGTGGTGGCGGGCAGCCGGGGAGGGTGGGCTGGTGGCCAGCTGGCCAAAGCGTCTCCATTTTCCAGCAGAGGGTAGAGAGTGTGGCTGGGAGGCCAGGGTCTGGGGTTTTTCTGTTAAATTTTTTTGCCTATTAAAAAAAATTGAGTTGCTTATCTTCTTATGATCCAGTTGTCAGAGTTCTTCATATATTCTGCACACGAGTCCTTTTCTGGGCAAATGTTTTGCAAATGTGGTCCCCCAATCTGTGGCTTTTCCATTTGCATAAGTGTTCTTTAAAGAGCAAAACTGTTTCATTTGATGAAGTCCGGTTTATTGATTTTTTTCTTTTATGTAGTTCATGCTTTTTGTGTCAGATTTAAGAAATCTTTGTCACACTGAAGGTCACAAAGATTCTCTCCTGTGTGTTCTTCTAGAAGTTTTATGGGTTTAGGTTTTACATTTAGGTTTCTGATCAATTTCAAGTCAGTTTTTGTACATGGTATGAGATTCACATTAGATCGCTACTTCTTCCAGAATCAGTGTTCAGAAAGATTATTTTTTCTCCATTGAATTGCCTTGACACTTTTTTTTAAAAGTTCATTTGAGACACAGAGATACAGAGAGAGAAAGCATGAGCAGGGAGAGAGGCAGAGGGAGAAGCAGGCTCCTCGCTGAGCCAGGAGCCCGATGTGGGGCTCAATCCCATGACCCTGGGATCATGACCTGAGCTGAAGGCAGACGCTTAACCATCTCAGCCACCCAGGCGCCCCTGCCTTGACACTTTCATCCATATCTGTATAGGTGTGTTTCTGGATCCTCCATGCTATTCTATTTATCTGTCTGTGTTGATTCCAATGCACACTGTCTCGATTACTGTAGCTTTAAAGTAAGATTGTTAATCAGGTGGTATATGTTCTTCAACTTTGCTCTCCTTTTTCAAAGTTTTTCTGGTTATTGTAGGTCCTTTGCATTTCCATATGAATTTTAGAATCAACTTGTCTATTTTATTTTATTTTATTTTATTTTTTTGACAGAGAGAGACACAGCGAGAGAGGGAACACAAGCAGGGGGAGTGGGAGAGGGAGAAGCAGACTTCCCATCGAGTTGGGAGCCCGATGCGGGGCTCGATCCCAGGACCCGTGGATCATGACCTGAGCCGAAGGCAGACACTTAATGACTGAGCCAACCAGACGCCCCTGTTTTTTTTTTTTAAAGATTTATTTATTTATTTTAGAGGAGGGGAGGGGCAGAGGGAGAGGGAGAGGGAGAGAGAAACCCAAGCAGACACCCCACTGAGCACAGAGCCAAATGTGGGGCTTGATCCCAATGCCCTGAGATCAGACCTGAGCCAAAATCAAGAGTTGGACACCCAACTGACTGAGCCACCCAAGTGCCCCTCAACTTGTCTGTTTTTACAAAAAATCTTGCTAGGAGTTTGGGATTGCCCTGCATGTACAGATTGATTAGGTTAATTTTCAGGGAAATGACACTTTTAACAATATTGAACCTTTAGATCCATGAATACTGTATATCTCTCTGTTTATGTAGTTGTTTAAAAGTTTCTCTCAACAATGTTTATAGTTTTCTAAGTTTGGATCTTGCACATTTTTGTTAAAGTGACCCCTTAGTATTTTCACTTTTAATTCTATAGGAAATACTTGCCTTTATCATTATCAATTTCTGATTGTTCATTTCTAGTATATGGTAGCACAATGGGTTTTTGTATATTTATTTCTGTGATGCTTAATCATATTTGTCAACTTGACTGGGCCATGAAGTACCCAGATATTTAGTCAGACATTCTGGGTGTTTCTGGGGAAGCGTTTTGGGTGAGTTTAACATTTAAATCAATAGACTGAATAAGCATTTTGCGCCCCCTGCTGCCCAGTGTGGGTGGGCCTCATCTAATCAGTTGAAGGCCTGCATAGGACAAAATTATCCTCCTCTACCCTGAGGAGGATAGAATTCCTCCTGTCTGACTGTCTTTGGACTTGACCTGAAACATCACTTCTTCTTGAGTCTCAAGCCTGCAGTACTCTGGACTGAAATCATACCATTGGTTCTCTTGGTTCTCAGACCTTCAAAGTTAGGCTAGAGCAACACTTTCAGTCCCTCCAGGTTTCTACTTGCTGACTCACCTTGCAGATCTTGAGACTTGTTAGTCTCTGTAATCACATGAGCTGATTCCTTACTCCCCACCCCCAACACATACACACACACACACACACACACCATATTGATTCTGTTTCTATTTCTCTGGAGAACCCTCACAAAACACGACTTTGTATCTTGCAACCTTACTGAACTCATTTACTTGTTACAGTAGCTTTTTGTGGATTCCTTAGGATATATGATTGTGTCATTTGTGAATAAAGACAAGTTTATTTTTTCATTTTTAGTTTGTATTCCTTTTATTTTTTTTCTTGTCTTATTGCATTGGCTAGAATTTCTAGCACATGTTGAATAGAAATGGTGACAGTGGACATTTTTGTCTTTTCCTAATTTAGGAGAAAAGCATTCAGTCTCTCACTGTTGAGTATGATGTTAGCTCAGGTCTTTGTAGGTACCCTTTATCAGGTTGAGGAAGCTCCCTTTAATTCCTAGTTTTCTAAGAGTTATAATGAATGGATATTGGATTTTGTCAAGTGCTTTTTCTGCATCTATTAGGATGAGTATTTGGTTTTTATTTGTAGTCTATTTCTGCAAATATGGTTAATTACATTGATTTTTTAAAAAGATTTTATTTTTAAGTAATCTCTACACCCAATGTGGAGCTTGAACTTACAACCCTGAGATCGAGAGTCACATGCTCTACTGACTGAGCCAGCCAGGCACACTGCATTGATTGATTTTTGAATTATAAACCAACCTTGCATTCCTGAGATAAACCTCACTTGGTCATCATGTATTATACTTTTTTGTATTGTTGGATTTAATTTCCTAAACTTTTGTTGAGAATTTTTACAGTCTATGAAGGATATTGGGCTATAGTTTTTTTAAATGTCATTTTCTGGTTTTGGTACCAGGTTAGTGTTGACTTCAGAGAATGAGGTGGAAAGTGCTCCATCCTTTTTAATTATCTAGAAGAGTTTTTACAAAATTGGTATTATTTACTCTTTAGACATTTTGTAAAACTCACCACTGAAACCACCTGAGCCTTTAATTTTCTTTGTAGGAATGTTTCCCCTGCTGAAAATTCAATTTCCTTAGTTGATATACGGCTATTCAAATTATCTATTTCTTCTTGAGGGAGTTTTGGCCTTCACTCACAATAGTGAATTTTTGTGTTTTTTAAGGAATTGGTCCATTTCCTCTATCTTGTCAAATTTATTAGCATAAAATTGTTTCTAATGTTCCATTATTATCCTTTTAACATCTGTAGGATCTGCAGTGATACCATCTCCATTTTCTGGTAGTGGTAGTGTTTGTCTTCTTTCTCTTTTTCCCTAATATGTCTGGCTAGAGGTTTGTCAATTTTATTGACTTTTTCTTTGAAGAATAGATTTTGGCTGGATCTTGGAAGGCCCAGGTTGGACAAGAAATGATTTCTAGAACATCTTAGGTGTATATCACTTCTTCCATCTAATTTATGTGTTAAAGACAGGGGTGAGAAGAGAGGCTGATTCCTGGTGAGAGGGGTGTATTAATGTAGAAGGGAGTTTGCACCCTGCACCTCTGTGCCCCTCATGTGCCTTGATGTGTTGCTGGTCAGTGAGTCTGGTTCTCAGCCCTAACTCCCAGGTAGCTGCTGCAGCTTTGCAAAGTGATCAGGGAAGGAGCACACTGAAACTACACTGCACTGCTGAAAGAAAGTGACGAGGACTCGAATAAGTGGAAAAACATCTTGTGTTCATGGGCCAGATGACTTCATATTATTAAGATGGCAGCACTCTCCAAATTGATCTGCGAATTCAACACAAGTCCCTGTCAAAATCCCAGCTGGCTTCCTTGCAGAAATTGCCAAAATCATCCTGAAATTCAGGTGGAAATGTAAGGGACTCAGAAGAGGCAAAAGAATCTTGAGAAAGGAGAGCAAAATTGGAGGACTCACACCTTCCAGTTCTGAAACTTACTATAAAGCTACAGCAATGCAGACAGTGTGGCAGTCTTAAGGACAGACGTACAGAGATCAGTGGAGTAGAACTGAGAGTCCAGAAATAAGCCCAAGCATTTATAGGTTTAATATGCAACAAGGACACCAAGACAATTCAATGGAGAGAGAACAGTCTGCAACAAATGGTGCTGGGACAAGTGGACAAACACATCCATGAGAATGAAGCTGGCCCTCACACCACAAACAAAAATTAACTCAAAATGTAGAAAATCTAAAAGAGCTCAAGACATAAAACTCTTAGAGGAAAGCACAGAGATAAAACATATAACCTTGGATTTGGCAAGAGATTTTTAGATGTGACACCAAAAGCATGAGCAACAAAAGGAAAAGTATACAGCCTGGGCTTTATCAAAAGTAAAAACTTATGTATTTCAAAGGAACACATTTCAAGAAAATGAATTCAACCCACAGAGTGGGAGAAAATATTTGTCAATCAGATGATAAGGGACTAGTATCCAGGATATATAAGAACTCTCCACAACTCAACAGTAAAAAGACAAACAATCCAATTAAAAATGGGCAAAGAACTCAAAGGAACATTACCTCAGAGAAGACATACAAAAGGAGAATAAGCACGTGAACAGATGCTCAATATTATCAGTCATCAGCAAAATGCTGATGACACCACAATGAGACACCACTGCATGCCCACTAGGATGGCTTTCATAAAAACGAGGGACAAACACAGGCATTGGTGAGGATGTGGAGACATTGGAACGCATATATGTTGTTGCCGTGGAAACAGTTTGGCATTTCATCAAAAATTAAACACAGAATTACCATGTGTCCCAGAATTCCACTCCTACGTATATATCTAAAGCAATTGAGCACATTTGACCACACAAAGTTTTTTATGTGAATGTTCATGGCGGCATTATTCATAATAGCCCCCAAGCCGGTCAGCGGACAAAGGGACAACCGGAATGCGGTCCCTGCACACGATGCGGTGCTACTCAGCATAGGAGCTCAGCGCTGACGGACCTCAGGGACAGCAGTGTGGGGCCAGATGCGGGGCTACGTCCTGCGTGACGACGCTGGTGGACATGTCCAGCATAGGTGCGTCCACAGAGACAGGACGTACGTTGGTGTTCGCAGGGGCTGCGGGAGAGCGTCGTGTGACTGCTAGCGGGTACAGGGTTTTGTTTGGAATTTGGTTGTGGTGACGGCTGTACAACTCTGTGAATACAGAAAAACATCTGAATCGCATACTTGAAGAGAGCGAATTTTATACTATGTGATTATGTCTCAGAAAAAATTTTAAGTTAGGTCCAAGGCTGTGCTGGGGGCCATGGCCTGTCCTGCAGCTCTAGCTCCGTGGCCCCGTCTCCCCAGCATTTCACACCAGCGTTTCTCCTCTGCCCTCAGGAACCTGCTCTGCCTCAGCTCATATCCTGCTTCCCCCACCCTGTGACCCTTCGGCCTCGGGCCCCGCCCCAGCTCCAAGGCCCTCATGGGGTTCTATGGGGGAGCATGTGGCTCTGGGCCACGTGTGGCTCAGGCGGGGCCGTCTGCCTGGGGCATCCACACCCTTGCGGCCCCTCCTGCTCCCCATCCCCACCTGCAGAGCCACGCTCCCTGTTCAGCGCCCGCAGTGCTCAGTGCCCACAGTGCCCAGTGCGTGGTGCTCAGTGCCCGAGGTGCGTGCCTGAAGGAGCGAAAGCACAGTGCCCCCCGGGCCTATCCTCCGTGGCCATCTGGTGGCCCTATGTTAGCGGCCTGCCCTCAAAGGAGCTGATAAGCCAGTGCTGACGGGCTGTTACGTGCTGACGGGCTGTTATGTGCTGGGAGGGGCCACCGTCCTCCTGTGGTGTGAGTGACCTGGCAGCTTTCTGGGTCGAGTGGTTAGGTGGACCCAGGCACAGGATGGGGCCGAGGAGGGCAAACGCCTGCCCACGGCCACAGGCACAGCTGGTCCTGGAGCCCTGCAGCATTCACGGCACAGACGGCTATGCAGGGAGTTCTCCGGGGCTGCTATGGGGTGTCCTGAGTGTTGGGTCACCCAGCCCAGGCATGCACAGCCTGCCCACCAGATGGACCCCGCAGGCTGCACCCAGTCGATGCCCTGGAGGGTTTGCATCATGCTCAGGTTCAGAAAAGCCCCAGGGGCTTTAGGAAAGTCTCTGCAAATGGGGCTGTTCCTGTCTCTCGTGGGGATGAAAGAGCAGAATGTGGAGGTAGCCCGAGTCTGGGGCGCCGTCGGATGGAGGGTCTCCAGTGCGGAGGCTCTGCCTGACTCTGACGCAGGCTCAGCTCACTTTGGATCTCTCACTGTCAGACGCATCTGACCAGGGGTTTTCGGAGAGCACATGGTTCCGAAGGGTGCTGGTGCATACCTGCTGTTTGATGCATAGAGGCTGCCATGGGGGTGCAGGTTGGGAAGCAGGTTTGGGAGGGGAGGGTGAGTGATGTATCTGGTAACGTCAGGGAGATCATTAAAAACAGGATCTCCTGCCAACCCAGCAATCCTCTCCACAAATGTGGGGAAGACTTTCATTATCAAGTACCCATGAAACCAGCCTGCAGTGCACGGGCTGCCAAGACAGCCAGGCAGCCTGGACTCCTGACCTGGGGGCGGGGTTACTTATGCATTCCCAAGTTAACTGGCACCCCGCCCTCAGGAGGGGAGGGGACACGTCTGGCCCACCTAACGTACCTGGTCGTAGGGGTGGGGACTGTGTGATAAGCAGGGGTCACCCTTGACCCAGGTCCCTGGGCGGACTCCCCTGGGGCCGGGGGACAAGACAATCCCGGGCTGTAAAAACAAGCTTTTAAAGACGTTTCTGTCCGTCTCAAAGGGGCAGAGAGAGAGAGGACGTAGGCTCATCGGTTGCTCAGGTTGCTCTAAGAGGGAGAAGAGGATCTCTCTCCCTTTTGGCAACAGAAAAGTCAAAGTTTTCTTCTCCATTTGTATTTACCCTCACCGCTGGGGGTAGGGGAAGCAATGATGGGGGGAGGGCCCCAGCGGCATCACCCAAACCTGCAGGGGCCGCGTTTAGGTTGGTCCTTTCCCTAAAATGGATCCCGGGGCGCCAGCAGGGGGAAGGCGGGTGGCCCCTGACCGTCCCTGTCCTGGGCCCCGGGGCCCCTCTCACTACCCCCGCCCCTCACAGAGATCCAGAGCTTCTCCAGCCCTGAGAAGGATGGGCGCATCGTTGGGGAGATTGCCTTCCAGCTGGACCGGCGCATTCTGGCCTACGTCTTCCCGGGGGTGACCCGGCTCTATGGGTTCACCGTGTCCAACATCCCCGAGAAGATCAAGCAGGTAGGCCCCTATGCCCTGGGGTGCGCTCCCTGCCGCAGGTTCCCTCCCTGACGTGGGGGGCGCCTCACTACCCCGGGGACCCTCCCTGATGCAAGTTGCCCTCCCATCCCAGGGTCCCCTCCCTGCTGTAGCCCCTCACTACCCTGGCATCCCTCCCTGCCCCGGGTCCTCCCACTGCCTCCAGGGCCCCTCCCTTGCCGCCCTGGGGGAAGGGTGCCCTTGCTGCCCCGTCAACTGTGGTGCTCGCACAGCTGAGGACTGTGGAGGCCCACGTGTGACAGAGGGTGATGAGCCCACTGCCGGGAGCGTCTCTGTTGGCACCCAGCCGCTCTGTGGCCTGGGACAGTCTCGGCCGTGGCTCCCGGGGCCACAGGGCCTTGTGCGTTCCGGCCTCTGCGCTAGCGGGGGAGCGCCCGGCTCTGGTCCCGGATACTGTCTGCTGGGACCCGGGACACTGCGCTCTGCCGGGCTGGGGGCTCGGCTCTGGGCGCGCGTCCCTGTGTCAGCAGCCTCCTTCACGGAAACCTGTTCGCTGTGTCCCCAGACGTCCATCAAGTCCCTGGACGGGTCGGTGGACGAGAAGAAGCTGCATGAGCTGACGCACCGCTACCTGACGCTCACGGCGCGCCTGGAGAGGCTGGGCTACAACCGGGACGTGCACCCGGTGTTCAGCGAGTTCCTCATCAACACCTACGGCATCCTGAAGCAGCGGCCCGACCTGCGTGCCAACCCGCTGCACAGCAGCCCGGCCGCGCTGCGCAAGCTGGTCATCGATGTGGTGCCCCCCAAGTTCCTGGGCGACTCGCTTCTGCTGCTCACCTGCTTGTGCGAGCTCTCCAAGGAGGACCACAAGCCGCTCTTCGCCTGGTGAGCCCGCCCCGGCGCGCGCCGCGCCTTTCCTGCAATAAACGTGTTTGTTCCAATCCCGGGGGCCGCGTGCCTCCTGCGTGTCCCCTCCAGCCGGGGGAAGAGCCGCGTCCGCCGACGGAGCGCCCAGGGCCGCAGGCGCTGGAGCAGGCGCCTCTCTCGGCCCGGGCCACGCACCCCAGGCGCCCAGACCGCCCGCCGCCCACACCTGCGCGGCACTGTCGCACTTTATTAAAATAATCTATTTACCTGTGTACCTTTGGCTCTTTGAGGGCATGGAGAACACCACAGGAGGTGCCCGCCGGTATTTGTGGAATGAAGCCTGGACAGAGCCTTGAGGGGAGAGGCTGGGGCTCAGGCTGGACTCCCAGACCCTCCAGCCCTCAGACCTCCCCCCGGAGGTCTCGGTCTCCTCCCCTGAAGGGGACAGCAGCTGGTTTCCCCAAATGCAGAGCCTGAGGCAAGGATTCCATACGGGCAGGACAGCTATAGAATCTGCAGAGTGTGGTGCAAAATGAAAACACAGGTCCCTTGTTCAAAAGTAGGAATTTCAAGATAGCCAGGGCAACACGTTGGATAGAGAGGAGCGCCCATGCAGCTGTGTGGATTCCGGGGAATCTGTTTATTTGGGAGATGATTTGATGCACACACACCCCCTCCCCCCAATGGAGCCATCAGGTCGAGCTATCTCTCCTGAGGTCTTGAGGACAGGTGACCTCCTGGGCCCCCAATCAGGACCAGGGCCTGGCACAGGCACGTTCCTGGGCCTCGGCTGTGAGTGGAGGGTCTCTGGTCACTTCTCTGCTGTGGGTGTGAGGATGAAAGTATTGGGGTGTCTGGACCAACTTCAGCTGGGGCAACCTATCCCTCGGTCCTCACAGGCCCATGTGTCCCAGAGGCCCCAGCACCTTAGGATACTCTTTCGTCAGCTTGGGCAGCCAGAACGTGCACCACAGAACAGGGTGGTTCAGAGGACATGCTGGAGGCTAGAAGTCGCAGGTCAAGGCGTTCACAGGGCTGGTTCCTCCTGAGGCCTTTCTCCTGGGCGTGTGGATGTCGTCTTCTCCCTGTGTGCTCACATGCTTGTCCCTGTGCATGTCTCTGTCCTGCTTTCCTCTCACTATAAGGACACCAGTCAGAGGAGATTAGGGTCACCCTATGACAGACATAATTTTAACTTTATTACTTTTTTTTTCCAAATAGATACTTTTATTTTAAAAGGCTTTAAAATTCATTGTTAATGACTGTTAATTATTTTTTAAATTTTATTTTATTATGTAATGTTAATCACCTTACATTACATCATTAGTTTTTGATGTAGGTACTTAAGCTCCGTAATACCCATCACCGGGCTAACCCATCCCCCCCCCAGGACCCTCAGTTTGTTTCTCAGAGTCCATAGTCTCTCATGGTTCAAAGATAGTAGGAAGCGAAAAATGAAAAGGGGGGAATTGGAGGAGGAGACCAACTTTATTACCTTTTTAAAGACCCTGTCTCCAAATACAGCTGCATTCTGAGGTGCTGGGGATTAGTGCTTCCACATATGATTTTGGGAGTGGGCACCATTCAGTCCATAACTGACTCCGTCCTCCCCTTCCAGCCACTGGACACCAACCTCCAGCTGGGGGACTCTGCCACCCTGGGGGCCTGTGGAGGGTGCACAAATTTGGTGCTAGGGCTGCTTGTTGGAGGAAGGACTGGTGGGCACTCCTGGGCACCGCTGGGATGCAGGCTCTCTGTGCGTGAGCCTCGGTGCTGGACCCAGGTTTGGAAGAATGCTTTTGTTGGGCCTTTGCTGTCTGCCAGGTCCTGCTGAGGCTCCCCAACCCCGCTGTGGGACCTAGAAGTGGAATAGGTGTGATCGTGTTCTCCCAGGGGAGCCGGCTGGAGAGGACCTGGCTGCCCCCAGCCTGCGAGGGTCTCTGGGCTTCTCTGGCTGCTCCAGGGGTGGGGACTGGAGGGGTGGGGCCCCAAGGCCCACGCAGCCGGGGGTCTCCTCACCTGCGCCCTGTGGCCGCCCCTGCCCTGCCGTGGCCGTGTGGGTGCCCGTGTCGGGAGGATGGCAGGTGGGGTCTGGCCTGCCTCTGGGAGGGCGCTGCGGGGTTTTCAGAGTGCCCTGAGAGGTGGGGCAGTTGAACCTCAGGTCTGAGGCGTCTGTGCACTGCTGGGGTAGCCACGTGACAGGAAGCTTGGCAGACTGGAAGTGCCCGACCCATTCAAGACAGTGTTGATCCGGCTGGGCTTTCTGGGTGCAGGGCCCTGGGCTGCTGGCCTGGGCACATCAGTCCTTTGTGAGGAGCCACTGGCCTCGGGGAAGAGCAACTGGGAGAGCTGGGGCTTCATCGTGACCACTTGCCCTGCAGGGCCAACCACGAACAGCACAGACTTGACCCTTCCCCACACTCTCCTGCCTGACCAGGCCGGGCTGACCTCTGCCGAGGGCCAGGTCCACCGATGGGGCTGCACACACGACCTCTCTTGTCTTCCTGCTACCTCAAGCTCAGAAGTTGACACGAAGAAATTTAGCAGGTCACCGGGAGAGTCATATGGAGGGTCACCTGGAGGGTCACTGGAGGGGCACATGGAGGGTCATTGAAGGGTCACATGGAGGGCCATGGAGGGTCATTTGGAGGGTCACATGGAGGGCCACAGAGGGTCATTTGGAGGGTCACATGGAGGGTCACT